TGCTAGCAAGAAAGGCTTTATCCCTTGTGAAGCTTTTAATTAAATGGGGAACGGGAACAGGGGAGGTGAGGGTGTGTGAGAAAGTCTGTGAGGTACTACAAAACTATGTGTTTAAAAATTTGTTTGACTACCAGCATCCTTGGATTTAGGTTAATGAGTGATGTTAGCGCTACCCCTTCTAATTTAAGGGGGGGAGAGACAGAAGGAGCTGTACAAGTCCTGAGAGGTTATAAATTATAATGCATACAATTATTTATGTTTCTTAAGTCAGTATCTCTTTAATAAGTACAAATCATTGATTAGTCATTTGTCAACGTTCTATTCGCTAGCATTTAATCAAATCAGTATAAGGAAAAATTGTACTATTAACAACTTAATTTCATCTTAAAAGAATCTGTTACTCAGGAACTTGGGCTTCCATTCTGAAAAAAAAAAAATTCTTTCCTGGCTATATGGAGATAGTGAACATAATAATATTGAAAGAATTCCCATTTTGGCTTTTATAATATTCTCTTCTGATACGTATAGCAGGATGAATGGGGATTTGTTATTTATTACTATGACAAGGTTAGCTTTAGGATTACGACTTTTCATTGAAAATGGAGGTGTAATACTCAGTTTGATTATTTTTGCACAATAACATATTTGTGCATATTTATATGTATAAGTATGTACACCTATATCCAAGTGACAATGTTCACTATTGTGCTATCCTTTTATTCCTGACATAATAGTTTTACCTTTAATTGCTTTAAAGATTAAGGGCATCCAAAGGTATTTTGAAAAACATGGCTATAGTGTGGGGAAGGCAAAGAGTAAATTATGCATTCCTTAACGAGGTGGAAGGCCCAAGTGGATTTAAGATGTTAAGGTGCCTCCTGAAGGAATTGACTTGGAGAATGTTCACGTGGTGCTGAAACAACAGCACTTTATACCTACATAGGCGTTTATTGCCACACATTTTCTCATTTGCTCAAGATGCTGTGATGTGGATGTGGCAGAAATCACATTACCATTGTATATATGGCAAACAGGCAAAGAGTGACTTGCTGAAGGACAGTTAGTACATGTTAGGTAAGACTATGAAGAACCTGAGATTTTCCACAAGCGAGCTTGTTACTGTTTCATGCATAGTGTCAGAAGACACAGACTCCTAAGTAACAGGCGAAGGACTTTCATTCCTCACAGTACAATAAGCATTGTGAACTTCATGTTCATTTGAATGGCTTTCCCCCCTCTCAATCCAATAGAGGCAGTGCTGGTAGACCAATTCTTTATGGATGCTATGCAGGCAGCAGTGGGATAAGAAGAAACACTGAGCTTGGGAATTCACTGTTTTTATAGAAAGCAGAAGCATGCCAACTCTTGGTAAAGTGGAAGGCATTATCTCTAAAGGTTGCTGGCTGCAAATGTCACCTTAAGAAAGGATCCATGAAGAGAGCAGTCAGAGGCTTGCATTCTTTAAAAAAAAAAAAAAAAAAATATATATATATATATATATATATATATATATATATATATATATATATATTGATTTCAGAGAGGAAGGGAGAGGGAGAGATAGAAACATCAATAATGTGTGCAACAGGGGGCCAATCAATGATTCTTGAATCATTGATTGGCCCCCTGTTGCACACCTTACTCTGGGGTTCGAACTGGGACTACCTTGTTCATAGGTCAGTGCTCAACCATTGAGTCTGCTGGCTGGGTTGGGTTCTGCACAGCAAGAATGTGCAGGAATGCTCAGGCCTCTTCCAATAATTAAAGGTTAAATGCTGACTTTTGTAGTAGTAAGGGTAGCAACTATAAGACATTCCCCCCCCCCCAAAAAAAATGTTTAATTTCATATTTATCTGTCCTATCCAAGATTTTTTGAAAGTAGTCCTTTGGCTTATTTGATATTCTCTATCACTAAAATCAGTTATGGTTATGATGAAAGTGAAGAACAGAAAAGAGGGCCCAATTTAAGAACTGGTCTCAGTCCCACAATCTCCTCTAACCTTTACAGCTACTGCCACTGCAAGGAACCCGGATAATGTTTTCACCAATGAAGTTCCTTGTGCCTCTGGCCATAGAAACATTTTCTGTAAAAATTGGAGGGCATAAGAACCACAGAGAGATAAAGAACAAGTAATATCACTAATAGTAGAAATATGGTATGAAGGGAAAAAAGGTAAATTATTGATGCTTCTTTTAAGTCAGAATTTAGCTGTTCTTAAAAGAATAATTATAACTTAACCTAATGGTTGTAACTACTTAAAATTAATATGGAATTGATTTCGAACTTTTCATTTATATAGTGTATTTATTTTTATCTGTCTTATTACATGAGATTTATTAAGGCTTTGTACTAAAGCTATCTGTCAAGCAGGGAGAAAGCCGAATCCTGGGGTAAATGTGGTAGCTTTCAGGACAGAGAACAGCCTGGGCTCAGATATGACTTTATGTTGGAATGCAAACTATTTGTGGTATCTTCTCAAAGAAGTGAAATCTAAACAGAAATGGAAAACATGAGATGTCCAGGGTGGAGAAGAACAAGCCAGGAAAAAGAGAACAGCATATTTTAAGACAGAGAGGCCAACGAAGGCGTGCCTTGTTAGTGAAACTGGTTTAAAATAAATCATCACCACCAAAAATCCTGTCATGAAAGCCTGGAGTATGGCAAGAGGAGACGCTGCAGAGAGATTTAGGGACTCACTGGAGGATTTTAAGTCAGGTAGCTACCTGATCAACTTCATATTTTATAACTATCACTACTATCACAGGGAGTGGAATAGGTCAGGTATTATTAAGACTAGATGGCTAGTGAGGAGACTTTTGCAATAATCTAAGTACTAGTAAGAGATAATGGTAGCTTTGATAACGGTGGTGTTGGTGGGAAAGGAGAGAAATATGTGGGCCCAAAAAACTACTCCAGAGATAATTAATAGCTCTTGCAGACAGATTAGATAGACGGAGCAGGGAAGAGGAGTCACTGAGGCTGACTCTTCTGTTTCTGACTTGGCAACCTTCGGAACAGTGGTTCCCCTGAGGAGATGGGGTTTGTTTGGGTTTCCTCCCCTTGGCTGGATGAAGTGAGATAGGAGAAGAGGAGTTTGGGAAGAAGAGAATATTAATTTTGAGAAAGACAGGAAATGTGGAACCAGAAAGCTAAAGTTGCTACTACCATGGGCTGTTTTTATAGTTTACAACATAGCTCCTTATAAGAAAGACTTTGTTTTATTTTTAATATATATATGTGTGTGTGTGTGTGTGTGTGTGTGTGTGTGTATTTAAATATTTAATCTGTATAACAGTACATAAATATTATTTTTCTCTCTCTCCTTTTTATAATAAACTATCTTGCAGTCTAATAGTGTTAGATCTAAAAGGAACCTTGGAAATGACCCTTTCTCTCCACCAGTGAGGAGACCGGGACTCTGAGAGGAGACCATGCGTTATCTTTAGAGGAACAGAAGTAACAGAACCCAGGCCTCCTAGCGGCCACTCCATTGCTCTTTGCATTGTACCTAGCTAGCTCCGCAATGAGCATTGCATCCCACTACAGCAAATACATGAAGTTAAAGACTTTATAAAGGAAAAACACCATTATCATCGAGGAAAGAAAAAATTGCATTAACAAATATATTCATTCACACATTTTTTGGCAGTACAGAACACTATTTTAGATAACCAGGGTCTGAGATGTTTAGTCCCTTCTCAGTATTGTCTTTCCTATCCTTCCACTGACCATTCATCCTGATGAAGCGGAAGGGGCTGAAACTCAGAAGATCTGGGTGTAGGCTTGACTTTAATTCTGAAAAATAGGTGAACTGGTTCTACTTCCATAGGCCTGTTACTGAATCTGAAAAAATTTAAAATGTGGGACCAGAGTCCTTTAAAATACTTTCTTTATTCTGTCTTTATAATTCCATATTTTCTATCACTGGTTGTCTTTCCTTTCTTCCTTAAACTGCTTCTTCTCCATGGCAAATAGAAACTTCTTAAAAACTCAGGTACAGGAGGTCAGTGATGTGTGTGTTCCAGATGGTCCTGTTTAAAGCAAGAATAGAATAGGGCCAGATTTTGGGTTATTCTGTTCACATATCATTGTATTTATTGTCCTTCTTTGAAAATAAAAATAGGCCTTGGCATTAGGAAGAGAGGCAGAAGAGGCAGAATCTGGAGTAGATCGGTGTGGGGGGGTTGGGTGCTATGAACTTCCAAGCACAGACAGGAAACCTGAGGAGCTGTACCTGGTGTTTCATGGGTTTCAGAGGGAAAATACTATATTTCATAATAAATTTGAGAAATTTGTGTTTATTTTTAATTTTAAGTAAAACCTGCTTTTTTGTATGCCATAATATATGGCAAATCGGTATCGTACGTGCATATCATTTACAAATGAATGCACATTCACATATGCTGTGGGAATGTGTATAAACACATTAAGCTGACAGAAGGATGTGTTCAAACAAGTTGGAAACGACTGGTGAAGAGACCTTTCTTGGGGCGATGGGTGCACGGAACAGTGCGCAGATGATGTGTTGTTGAGTTGTACACTTGAAGCCTGTATGGTTTTGTGAACCAATGTCATGAATTCAGTTAAAAAACAACAACAACAGGAGAGTAAAGGGCATCAAGATATCATCCTTCCTGAAAATAAGAAAAATAGCCTCTAAAACAAAAATAGCAACAAAGAGCATGTTGGTAGAATTATTTAACTGAGTCTTTTACCTCTTACAGAGTTGAAAAAATACATTCACCCACAAAAAATATTTATTTAATTTACTCTTGTTCATCATTTTTTATTTTTTTTTTTTGGTGTTGCTAAGTAACTGACACTGAAATGGACTCAGTATAATTTATTTAAACTTTTCAACAGAAGGAGCAGGCCTTAATAAAGCACACAGATTAGTGCTTTTAACAGATTTGGCCAGGAATTTTTGTCCTATTTATTAGTTTTTTTTTTCCCCCCAATTTATTATATCTTCTTTTTTTTTTTTACTATTTTTTCACAGAATAAGACCACAACTTGCCAAAGAAAAGATTGAAGGATGCCATATTTGTACATCAGTCACACCAGGAGAACCTCAGGTCTTCCTGGGGAAAGACAAAGCCTTTACTTTCGATTATGTGTTTGACATTGACTCCCAGCAAGAACAGATCTACACTCATTGCATAGAGAAACTAATTGAAGGCTGTTTTGAAGGATACAATGCTACAGTGTTTGCTTATGGACAAGTAAGTACCCGCTTATTGTTGTAGAGTTGTCACTGTTCGGAAGTGTTAGTTCAGCGGCACTTTCATTTTTGTTCTTTGGGATGATGTTATTGCGAGCAAGCACGTTATTTTCCTCTGTTGCTTTCTTCAGACTGGAGCTGGTAAAACGTACACCATGGGAACAGGATTTGATGTTAACATCATCGAGGAGGAGCAAGGTATTATTTCTCGTGCGGTTAAACACCTTTTCAAGAGCATTGAAGAAAAAAAACACACCGCAATGAAAAATGGGCTTCCTCCTCCAGATTTTAAAGTGAATGCACAATTCTTAGAGGTAACGGACTAATTCTGTCATCAGTTTATTTTAAATTTTGTCCTTGAGACCGTAGACTTTATGATTTTATGCTTCTGGCTCCTAGTACAGGTTTTGCACAGAGTGCTCAATAAATGTTTGATTGAGTAAATGAGCATTAGGTCTTGGGAGCAGGAAGAATAGACAATAGATAGTAAGTATCCCTTACTTGTTGGCTTTTAAGTTTATAAACACTTGGTCAAAGACCACAGAGTAAAAGAATCAATACTGTTTATTTCAGAATCTCTCTGGACCCTATCTATAATTACTGTTATAATGTAGGCAGGCTCACAAAGTTCTGGAAACTCAGTGATTAAGACCGAAAGGGAGGGAGAGAACATGAGGAATAATAGGATGAAGGCTGCAGCACTAATCTGGCTGCAGAAGCTGGTATTCCTGCAAGAATAGGCAGATGTTTTGATGCAGAATCCAAATGTCGGAGCAGGTTTGGATTTATTTAGGTCAGTGTAGTCTGGTGGGAGGGAAATGACAATCAAAGGACATGTCACATAGGAGCAATATTGCAGTTAGGTGAATGGTGGGTAACATTATAGTTCTGGGTGCTTTGTTCAAAGAATGTTCTAGTTTAATTCTAGTCTGGATAGCCAGAACTAATATTTGGTCATTGATGAAACATTTTATTTGACATTATACAGCACAAATTAGAAAACAATTCAAATTAACATACGTTATCTTACTGCTGATTTTAATAGCTATCCCAGTTTAGTAAAAACCAAAAGCAAGATAAGCAACTGATGGAAAAAGAAAAAAAAAAAGTATTCTTCCGTCTTCCCTTTTACTCTCCAAAATGTTGTTGGGCATTGAGACTTTGAAGCACACTGATAGAAAAATGGTGTGTGCATCCTCTTCCAAGGTGTAGCCTCTATTGACACAGAAACACTAACATCATTGCCCACTTTGCAGAATATTAAGTATTAATTTTTAGATACAATAAGAATGGCTATAAGGCAATAGGAAATACATTTTTACCTTAAGTAGTAAAACCTCTTAAAATCTTAATTGGGATTTGTCTACATTTGGTACATATTTCTTAGAGTTTGCTTGTATTTCTAAACTAGAAGCCCAGTACGTGAATTCATGCATGGGCTGGGGGTTCGGTCGGCCCAGCCCCAATCTGGGCAGATTGAGACCAGGCCTGTCAGGAGGAGGAGATGGTGGGAGGTTGGCCAGCTGGTCCACCCTGATGGGGGCTGATCAGGGTCAGGCTGGTTGGGGGGAGGGGCCGAAGGTGATTGGTCGGTGGGCCTCACCCTTGAGTGGGGTGGGAGACTGATCAGGGGTCAGCAGCTGAGGGAAGGTCTGTGGGTGGTTGGCCAGCCAGTCCCACCCCCGATTGGTGTGGGGGGAGTGATTGGAAGTGGAGTTGGCTGGGGGGAGGGGTGGTGGTGGATCTGGGATGGGGCTGGGTGAGGGGAGGGACTGCCGGAGGATGGCCAGCTCTGCCCCCTATTGGGATAGAAGGGGGTCAGGGGCGGGACCGGCCAGGGGGAGGGGCTGCAGGAGGTTGGTTGGCAGGCCCCACTCTTCTCCCCTGATCGGGCTGGTTCGCTGGCTTCAGTGGGTATCATAATGGTTGCTGGCTTTTTATATATATAGATATTTATCACTTGCAAAGGATTAATAGATCCTTTTAGCTAGCTCTCAACTTATCAGCCATGATTACATCCTTTATTGTTTTATAAAGAAACCTGACATTCATTTGAATTTGTAATAATAACTGCCTCATTCGTTTTTTATCTGTTTTGAAGAAATATATGTCATTTTGAAGAACTTTAAGATGAATTTGAAAGATAACATATGTACTACATTTTGTTAAGCCATGAGGCAATTTCTTCCAAATTTAAACTTGCAATATTTCTTTTTGATAGCTGTACAATGAAGAGGTCCTTGACTTATTTGATACCACACGTGATATTGATGCAAAAAATAAAAAATCAAACATAAGAATTCATGAAGACTCAACTGGAGGAATTTATACTGTGGGAGTCACAACACGAACTGTGAATACAGAATCAGAGGTGACATTCATATTACAGTTAAAATAAGGCATATTTGGCTTTATTTAGTATTCAGCTTTGCTTATAGTTTGCTTAAGATCAAATTCTGAAATTTGTATTTTTAAGTGTAACATCTTATAAAAATCTTGCCTTTTTTTTCTCATATATTTTATACCAGGATTTTATTCTTAAAAATGTCACAGCTATGATAAAGTCAGTTCATTTACTGTAGCATCAAAAGAGTCCAAGGCAATGCATATATAGTTTTCTTTCACAGCTAGAAAAAGAGAGTTAGGTCTTTAAAGGGGAAGGTTGGGACCACAATCCTTTTGCAACTTTTGCCGTCACATATATACAGTTGTACCATGGCTCCTTAAGGGAAACTGTTAAGAAAAGTCCCAAAATATTTGGCAGATGATACAGAGTAGCCTGAGTAATTCAAGATTTTGCTCAGTTTGTTCCCAAGAGTTCCACTGTAGCAGTTTGGAATAAAAGCTGCAAATGTCAGCAAAAGGCAAACAATGGAATCTCAGTGTTTTCTCCTATTTAAAAGATAATATGCTATTATGCTGAGAAGTTCAGCTCAAAAAGTGCATGTAGCTAAAATAATATGAAAGTCCACATCCTTTACATCCTTAGCATTAGCTCAGTCTTCCGATTGCATGGTACCTTGCTTCATTGTCCTTTCCTCCCGTTTTCCAGATGATGCAGTGTTTGAAGCTGGGTGCTTTGTCCCGGACCACAGCTAGCACGCAGATGAATGTTCAGAGCTCTCGCTCACATGCCATCTTTACCATCCACTTGTGTCAAACCAGAATGTGTCCCCAAATAGACGCTGTGAGTTACCAGCTCTGATTTCTTAAACTTTCAGTCATTCTTTCCCTAAAGTCACATAAATCCCAGAAGAGTACATATGAACCACATTTAGTTTGTTTAATTATTTCCTTTCCCAATGAGATGCCTCTGATCCTGTTTAAGCTGAAGCTGGCTAACTGTGTAAGGTTTTGAAATAAATGTTTGGATGTGTGTCTACGCAACTGGACAGTAAGCTGTGGCCATATAGTGATGGAGGTAGTCACCCGAGGACCGTGTGCTATAGATGTTCTTTTATTAATGTAAGCAAAGTCTTAGTTCGTAACAGCTGGGTTCTGACTGTCAAGTTTCTTGCTGACTTTGTTGTGAGCTTCTAATGGCCAGCAGACATTTTTGCATTTGTAATCATTTGGCTATATGCCTGTGTGTGTGGGCACACACACACACACACACACACACACACACACACACACACGGGGAAAAGGGTTCCCACACACAAAGGGGAAAGGGGTGAGAAGATATGTAGTATCACATTAATAAAAATATTTTCAATTATTGTCCTCAATTGCAGGAAAATGCTACCGACAACAAGGTGATTTCTGAATCATCACAGATGAATGAATTTGAAACCCTGACTGCAAAGTTCCATTTCGTTGATCTGGCAGGATCAGAAAGACTGAAGCGAACTGGAGCCACAGGCGAGAGGGCAAAAGAAGGCATTTCCATCAACTGTGGACTTGTAAGACTGAGATGCTCCATTGCTCTTTTCTCTCTCTTTTTTTTTTAATACTTAATACCCAAGCGGAAAGCCTCCTCACACTAAGCTGAGAAATGAGAGTTACAATAAACTCGGAAACTTAGGCATAATGCCCTGAATTTTGACCTCCTCACAATTTTTTAGTCTTCCACATTTCAGATTTTCTTCATGTATGTAAATGTAGTTGGATTTAATTTTATGATATGTTCAGGAAATAGTACATATTGTGGAAGGGAGTTACAAAATTCCACATTTGAAAACATTTTGTCAGTATCAACATTTAATTTTCATTATGGCACAGGGTGACTTTCAAAGTAGCATTTCACTCCCTCACATTTTGTGACAGTCTCTTTATTTTGGGAATTATAATAAATGTTTTTTAGTGGATTTTTTTCAAATGATAAATTTTTAGATTGTAGTAGGAATTAACTTTAATACTCTGCCACCTAGTGGTGCTTTTTATTGGAAAACATCTGGTGTTTATTAGCATAAAGTTTCTGTTTTATGGGAGGATAAGAGAGAAGGAGAGGAAAGGGGGCCTTCCTGCACGCCCCCTACTGGGGATCCAGCCTGCAATTGGGCATGTGCCCTGACTGGGAGTCAACCAGCAACCTTTTGACGGATGGGATGACACTCAACGACTCAGCCATACTGGCCAGGGTTGGAAGAAAATATTTTTAGAGTAACTTTTTGTGTAATAAATCTTTTCTTATTGTCTTCATTATAAATTGGGCATTTGTTCCTACATAAAAGTAATGACATACTTCTGTGAGGTCCACAGCATCAGAGCAAGTATTTCTACTTTGCTTGCCTCCCTGGAGCTTGGGCCTCCAATCATGTGTCCCTATCTTGCCATTGCCCCATATTTGCTCCTGTATGATGACAACCCTTCTGTGGGGGAATTAATAACTGAGGCTGATTAGACAGAGCCAGACCTCCCAACTCCATCTTGATACCCATCTTGATGCTCCCACCATATGGTTGAGTTTTGTGTTTAAGGGAGTGACCTGGGACCTGAATTTTGTGTATTGTTCTGAATTACTTAGGAGATAAAATTATGGTGGTATTTACATTTGTTCTATTAAGGAAAGACAAAAGCCATTGGTCTGTTTTCCTGGTTAGGCTATTGAAGCATGCTCAGGTATATCTGGTCAAGTTTCAGTGCGGCCAGTAGTCCAAACTGTAGCCACTCTGGGAGAGAGGGCCAAGGAGACAGTGTGATGCTGATGCCTCTCTCTGCATGCTCCGCTGGCCCTAACAGAAGTATGGAGAGAGATGTTTGCAACACTGAAGGGAAGTGTGACCCACATTTAGGATAATGCTATGCCATGGGGGCCAGCTCAGTGACAGCAAGGAAAGCAGTAAGAGTAGCAGGAGGGGTGACTAAAGAGTTATGTGATTTGACTTACTTCCTTTCCATATTGGATGCTTAGCTCATAGAGTTATTGTATTTCTAAAGACAGCCATATTTACATTAGGAATACCTTTTCCAGAGGAATGATAGTGACATGTTTATGTTGGTTAAAACAGAATTTGTTTTCCCATAAGGTAGCTATATTTCAACAAGATAGTGTCATGAAACTATTGAACTACTTAAACATTTTAGTTCTTCACTGAGTTGAGGAGAAGAATTTGCAACATGAATTGACAGTATTATGGGGACACAACCTAGTAGTCTGATGATTTTAGGGATGGTTAAAAGTCATCAATCTTTTATTTATCTCTAAAGAAAATTTCTGAATAGAATTTTAAGCATTTGTGATTAATGAATACATTTAAGTACTAAATTTTTCATAGTCAATAGAGAAAACTTTTGTTAATTGGTCATACTTCTAAATATAAATGTAAAAAAAAAAACACAAAAACAAAAAAGCCCAGACCTGAATGCTTCCAATTCTGTCATGTCTCCATACTATTCTCTAAAAGGCTTTGTTATTTAAAAGTGTTATAATTAGTGCATTTTTATCATTTTTCTCTCTCTTTTAGCTGGCACTTGGCAATGTAATCAGTGCATTGGGAGACAAGAGCAAGAGGGCCACCCATGTCCCCTACCGAGATTCAAAGCTGACAAGACTGCTCCAGGATTCCCTCGGGGGTAACAGGTATGCGTACGTGATTACCCATATTTGTGAATTTCAGTTATTCATTATTATTAATGTAAGTTTGCAAAGCGACTTTTAAAAACTGGTTTTATTATAAAGCAAATTGATAGGATGAGGAACTAATAATTACCAATGACCGGAAATGTGTGTGGCTTTCTGTATATTGTTATTTCACATAGTCCTACACCCTCCCTTAAAGTAGGTATGATTATTCCTATTTTGTAGATGAGAACATTGAAATCCAGAGAGTCATTGATTCAGTCACTTAGCTTGTAAATGAAGTTCATAGCCTGTGCTCTTTCTACTTTACTGTTGTTCTGCTTAAGTGCTTGTCACCTAGCTTATGCCTAATACAGTTTTGTTGAAAAATACTAGTAAATGCTGTCTAAGTAAACACAAAGTAATTTAAATATGCTTTCTACTATTTTACAAAGTCTCCTAAAAATTAAACTTTTTCTTTGCATGTGGAAAAACTTCTAAAAATGTCAGTTGAATGAAATACAGGGCGTTTGCTGTTTATGAACTTTGTCAGCATCACTGATATTCCTTCTTTTCATATTTTGAATTATTCTGATGTTTCATCTGCTAAACACATTATTTTGTAATGCATTCCTTTTTATAAACATCAACATGTTGGCTTTATGAGTAGAAACATTTTTGGCATTTAAATTCAATCAGTACAATTCAGCAAGTTCAAATAGCCCTTATGTTTGTATTTATTCTTTTTACAGTTAACAGAGTCTATTTTAGTGTTTTCAAGCTAAAGAATCTCAGGTACATCTCCTTAGTAGGTGGTAACTCTTCAAACAAGAAGACCTGTTTAGTCAGCATCAATTCCTGCTTAGAATTTTAAGACTGAACTCAGTTTAAAAGCATTGTACTTTGTAGAGCTTTGGAAAATAGAAGACCTTCATTTCATGACTTTTGTATAAATTATTCTTAAAAGAAAAATTATATCAAAGATATTTTTGGACACAAGCTGCATATATTTTTATGCATAATCTAGCGACTTTTATTTTAAAAGTGAAGCTGGATTTTTATACATTTATAAAGTTATAACAAGATTATAGCAAAAATTCTGAAAAGTGCAGAAAAATATAAAGCATGAAAAAATAATAAGAAGAATAATAATATAACCAATAAGAAAGAGATATGCAGGGGGTATGAGGAAGCAGAGAGAATAAGTACAGTCAGATGAGGGTTGGATTCTTGGATGAGATAATATTTGAGTCAACCTTGAATAATAATAAGACTGAGGATAAATAAGGATGAGCAACAGTCAATAAAGGGAAAAAGATGGGTGGAATGGGATATCTTTTAAAATGGTAAGTAGGAGTGCTGTGTTGAAATTATTGGGGGAAGGCAGAAGGCAGGAGTGGAAGCAGGAGACTAGGAGGTGATTAATTAGAATTGATGGGCATGAATTCCCTACTGGAGAGGATAAATTCGCTCTTTCAGTGTCAGTGCTGATTAGAATGTCCTTGTCTGTTTCATTGACAGACATAATAGCTGGGGCATACTAAGCATTTTACTATTCTATTCTTTGGTTGGTAAAGCAATTTATCATTACTGTAAAGTAATGTTTCCCTTCTCTCCTGTGTAATCTGGTCTGAACTTTGACCAATCAATCACAAATGATTTTTTATAACATATGTATATATTATACACTTGTTCAGGCTTTTAGTACGAAATTTTTTGCTAGCAACAAAAATCAGGTTCAAAGTGATTAAATAAAAATGAAAAAAGTTTAAATCCTCAAATATTAAGTAGGTAATGATTTTTGAATTTCAATTTGGAACATAGGTAGATTAAGTTTTAGAATTATTCTGTGTGCATTGCCTCAATTCTTTTTTTGTAAAGAGGGGAGAAATAAATATATGTACTTATACGTTCTCAAAACATTATGGATCAAAAAAGGGTAATATAAATTCATTTTCTTTAAGATAGTCGTAAAGCATAGGGGCTTTTGCATTTGCTTTTATTTTTAAGTTATCAGTGTCAAAGAGAAGATATTATTTAAAAGGCAGAGATTTAAAAAGTGATTATTGCCATGTTTTATTTGCCTTTTTCTGTAAACCTAATTTTTCTTTGTCACTTTCAGCCAAACAATCATGATAGCATGTGTCAGCCCTTCAGACAGGGACTTTATGGAAACTTTAAATACCCTCAAATATGCCAATCGAGCTAGAAATATCAAGAACAAGGTGATGGTCAATCAGGACAGAGCTAGTCAGCAGATCAATGCACTCCGCAGTGAGATCACACGACTTCAGATGGAGCTCATGGAGTACAAAACAGTAAGCTACTGGGTTTGACTTGGCATTTTGTGATACATTTTGTGAACACAGTGATGCCTTTTGTGATGGCTTGCACACGTGTTTCTCTGGAGCCTCCTGTCTGCCATGATAGTGGTCTTCTTCCTTTTGAAGGTAGAATTCTCTGGTTTTCCTTGTGGGTAGCCTTTAATAATGTTTAGTCCATCTCTCAACCTGATTCAAAAGGCTTCCTATTTAATCAATCAATTTATTTATTATTTTAAAATTTGATTTTAGAGAGGGAAGAAGGGGTGTGTGTGTGGGGGGGAGAGAGATTGAGAGAGAGATAAAGAGAGAGAAACATCCATGGATTGCCTCCTGTACAGGCCTGATCACAACCGAGGTATGTGCCCTGACTGGGAATGGAGCCCATAACCTTCCAGTGCCTCAGACAACACTCCAACCAACTGAGACACACCGGCCAGTGCTCAATCAATTTCTTTCTGACAGAGCTGCCATGGAAAGATGCTGTAGAGTAAAAGGATCGCTTTTGCCTTGAGACTGTTAAGACAAAGCGTTCTTGGTTGTAGAACTGCATAGTCCTGTAATATCCTTAAGCAAATCTCTTGTGTATTTAAGGCTCCTCAACCAACAGGGAAATCTTTTTCTCTCCCAGGGAAAAAGAATAATTGATGAGGAGGGAGTGGAAAGCATCAATGACATGTTTCATGAGAATGCTATGCTACAGACTGAGAACAACAACCTGCGTGTGAGAATTAAAGCCATGCAGGAGACGGTGGATGCACTGAGGACCAGAATCACCCAGCTTGTTAGTGATCAGGCCAACCAGGTTCTTGCCAGAGCAGGTAAGCATGCGGGGTGGGACGAGTAAAAAGGGCACATTCATTAATCATCTCGAACATTTGAAGTAGAAATGTCAATCTATGTACAATGAAGTAGAAATGTACAATCCATGATTTTCAGTTAAATGCTTAATTTGTAAGTAATACATTCTTACAGGAACAAAATGTGCCCTTTACTTAGCTATTTTTATCTTGCTGTCGGCCTGTGTAGTTAAGGGTGGAACATTTGCTGTAAAACTTGTGTCTTATAGCATTATTATTTTGTTTCTGTAGCTTAGTGTTTTTCTCCCATTCTGTTTTGTTTAAGTTTTAATTTGAAGGAAATTCTTAACTTCGTGTTTTATCTTGCAGGGGAAGGGAATGAGGAGATCAGTAATATGATTCACAGTTATATCAAAGAAATTGAAGATCTCAGGTACAGTTCATGGACTGTAAAATATAATGCACATCTTGGGGTTTTCAGTGCAGAAATATTGCTATCTATTGGGTTTATTGTTTAGTCATTGTTCGCAGTGATATTTCTGCCTTTTGGTCAGGTTACCTTTAGGGAAATAGGTGTTTGCCTTTCCATAATGTCACATCCCAAACATCTTTCCTTCCATCTCTTCCCATATTATGTTCTCATGTTATCTTCCTACTCTGGTTGACATACCCCTCATGGGAACTTACCTAACCTGACACACAGGACAGGCATGTGGATTGACCTTTAGTGCCTTCCCTCACCAGTTGGAATCAATGAGTCATCTCTAATTTTTTATTGTTATTGTTATTCCTCACCCAAGGATATTTTTTCATTGTTTTCTTTTTTTTTTTTTTTTTAAGAAGGTAAAAAAGAGGGAGAGAGGTACATGCTCTTGACTGGAACCTGGGACCCTTCAGTCCACGGGCTGACCTCTAGCCACTGAACCAAATTGGCTAGGGCTCATCTCTAATTTTAAAAATCTGCTTTTCCAGCTACTCCTTATGTGTGAATCATTGCATCCCTTCACTTTGCCTGCACCTCTGGTACAGAGGCTCATTCATCACTCGCATTTCACACACATACTACAAATGCTCCCTATGTGCCAGGCACCATGCCATGACTGAGTAAGTGTGACATAAACAAGGAGCTCACAGTCTAGGTGGAGAACGTACATGTAGTAAATGGAATGATAGGAAACAGTAAAAGGAGTCATCGCCTGAGCCCAGACTGCAGGAATAGGGATTGAAAAGAAGGTTAGGGACACTAATTGTTTCTATGATATGTTCAGTTTTATGGTTTGTCCCGATGGCTCAGCTACTTTCTCTTTCAGTAAATCCACAGTCAGCTCCAAGGGGAGCATCTAAGTAGCTCAGATCTCATTTCTGTACACATTTGCCAAAAATAACCCAGCGGGAAATGTTTCACAGCTACCCTAACTCTAACACGTCTCCATCTTGTATTTGTGTTCTCTTTCCCTTTCTCTTCCTCTGACTATTCTAGAGATTATTTATTTATTTATTATTATTATTTTTTTACTTTAGAAAATATTTTTTAAATTGATTTCACAGAGGCAGGGAGAAGGAGAGAAAGATAAAAACATTCATGATGAGGGAAAATCACCAATTGGCTGCTTCCTGCACGCCCCCTACTGGGGATGGAGCCCACAACCTGGACATGTGCATTGACTGGGAATTGAGCTGTGACCTCCCTCATTCATAAGTCAATGTTCAATCACTGAGCCACACTGGCTGGGCTACTGTAACAATTCTGAAACAGAGTTGAATAGTGTTTCCACTGTTCTTGCCTCTACTAGGCATATTGGATACCTTAAGTGTTTCAAAAGCAAAAAACAAATGAGCAGACATCTGATGTGGCAGTAGATAGAGTGTCTCTATTAACTGTCACTTTTGTTCTTATACATGTCTCCAAGCTTTACCTTTTTGGCAGAGACTGTTGGACCACGCGGTACTGGTTCTGGTCAGCAGCCAAGTTGGGCTTACATTTCCATCCTGCCTATTGCCCAAAACTTGTCTTTCTTCATTCTGTAGCACCCATCTTTCCCATTCCGAGACACACCTGACATCTGTCTTTCAGTTCCTGAAGATTCTCCTCTTGTTCCTAGCCTGCTTTTCTTTTATTTCCTCAGCACTGGCCAGCAATGAAGGCTGGTCTCCTGCTCTGTTCCCTGTCTTCCACCCTGTTATTCTGAGGCCTTACCTAAGCTTGATCTCTCCTTTGGACAAATGTCTTCACCAGTGGTAGGCACTCTTTCCTAGAAGACTGATGCGGTCATTTCCACTCCCCCTAGTGACTGAAGCAGCATTAAATATCTTCCTTCTCGTTCTCAACTTAGGACCATTCTTTGTTTTTTGTTCATCCTCACCTGAGGAAGTTATTTCCATTGATTTTTAGAGAGAAGTGGAATGGAGAGGGAGAGACAGAGAGAGAAACATTGATGTGAGAGGGACACATAGATTGGCTCCCAGGCCAGGTACCTGCCCTCGACCAGAATCAAACCCAGGACCTTTCAGTCCAGGAGCCAAGGCTAATCACTGAGAAGACCGGCTAGGGCAAGACCATTCTTTAAGCCATTCATCAAACAGAGACCAATCAGTGATCAAATCGTTCTTGGTGTAGGTTAGTAGCTTGTCCCACTTTCCCAACTCTTCTTTGATGGTTATCTAATTAGGGGTGTCCCATTCCTGAGACACCCCTAGAGTCCCAGCACTGTAATTTACAACATACACATGATTGTATGTTGTAAATTACAGTGCTTGTAGAGTCCCAGCACTGTAATTTACAACATACACATGATTTACACATGGGATAAGCATAAACAAGCTTTGAATCTAAATTGGATTCCCTGGTTTGAAATGTAAGCCTCTATTTTTTTTTTTTAATATATTTTATTGATTTTACACAGAGAGGAATTGAGAGGGACAGAGAGTTAGAAATGTCGATGAGAGAGAAACATCGACCAGCTGCCTCTTGCACACCCCCCACTGGGGATGTGCCCGCAACCAAGGTACATGCCCTTGATTGGAATCGAACCTGGGACCCTTCAGTCCGCAGGCCGATGCTCTATCCACTGAGCCAAACCGGTCCAGGATAAGCCTCTATTTTTTAAGAAGTGTGTGCCTTTGGGAAAGTTAAAACATCTCTGAGCTTTGAATCATCTATAAGAAGGAGGTAATACCTGCTAGTTTCAAAGAGTTATTATGGGGCTCAAATAAAAGCACATGATATAAAAGTTCTTAAATTCAAAGGTACTGTAAAGATCTGACATATTATCATTTTTATGTCCAAGTTATCACTTTTTGTTTTTATTTACTAAATCCTCTCCAATTCTTATTTCTATCAAAAATTGGTCTTAGAAAGACAGCTTCTTAAACTTAACACAAATTTATATATTGTCACTTGGAAATGTTTATATTTCAAGTCTTATCATTCTAGTTGTAAAATAATACCAGTTATCTTTTAATAAATTACATGTCATATTATTTTTTTTTGTGAAACAAGAATCATCACTAATAAATTAACTCTTATTTTGGTGGGATTTATATATTTTGTAGAATTTTTTGAAAATAAAAAGTGTAAACAAAATTAAAACCATAGTCTCACCATTTCTATAATATAACCAATGTTAACAATTGGTGTATCTCTTCAATATTTTTTCAACATATACTTTAGCAAAATTGATATCAGGGTTTATATATTGCTTTGCTATCTATTCTTTGAAATTGAACAAGCTATTATGAGGATTTTAAAAATGTTGCTAACTCGTTTTCTAACATGATGTTTGCATAGTTTTATATAATATAATACTCTTTTCTGTTTTTAATTGATTTAACAAATCCCCTATGTTAGATTATTATATTGTTGTTAACAACTTTTTAGATAAAATAGTTATTATTTGTTAAATACATATCAGTCAGGTGAGTTTTAAATTCACTGTATCATTGATCCTTACAGTAATTCTAGGGAAGTATATATTTTTCATCTCCATTTTACAGAGGAAACAGTGGAGGCTTTTAGAGATGAATGGTCCAAGATTTAGGGAATAACAGAGCTGAGAGACAAGCTCTCAGTCAGCTCCTTCCTAAGGAAGTCTGGGTATTTCCTTTCATGCCTCACTGCTTAACCTCCTGTTAAATGAAAGGCAGGCAGCAACTAGTGGATGGGTGGGTGAGTCTGAAGGGAAAGAGAGACTCTCTTTCTACAGCCCATAAAAATAAAAACAATTTTAAAAAAGCAGGTTCTGCTAATATAGCATGGGATTTGTGGAGATGAGCCCTAAAGGTTTTAGCCTTAATCAGCACCAAGACTGAAGAAACATTGACTATGCCTCTACCAAATCCAAACTTCCTATATAATAAAAGCCTAATATGCTAAGTGTCCAGTTGTCTAGTCCTTCGTTCAACCAGTCAAAGTGTAATATGCTAATGATATGCTAAGTCCACTCAACCACTTGCTATGATGTGCACTGACCACCAGGAGCCAGATGCTCCAACTGGTAGGTTAGCTTGCTGTTGGGGTCCTTCTTTTTTTTTTTTTTTTTTTTTTTCTTGTCAATCCACACCTGAGGATATTCTTTTCATTGATTTTGAGAAAGATTGTTTAGAGAGAGTGGAAGGTGAGGGAGAGAGAATGAGAGAGAAACATCGATGTGAGAAAGACGCATTGATTGGTTGACTCCACACATGCTCCGACTGAGGCTGGGGGATCAAACCTGCAGCCCAGCTATGTGCCATTGACTGGAAATCAAACCCATAACCTTTTGATGTGCAGGTCGATGCTCTAACCACTTAGCAGTACTGGTCAGGGCTTTGGTTGCCTTCTTGTTTTAAAAATGACATAATTATATTTATGATTTCTTTAAAATAATTTTGAAATCACTTAACCTAGAAGTTTGTACACAGCTATTCAACCAGTTAAAATATTATAATTATTGTTCTGCTCACATATGATACCAGATAATTAAGCAATTTCATTAAAAATTAGTAGGACAGTAACTGGAAATATATATTCATTGATTTCTATACATTCCGCCTCTAGCCAGTTTCAACAGTGTCATGAATAATTTCAGTAGATAATGAAAAAGCACAGAATTGACTATGACTTTGAGAGCTTAATAGTTGCAAATAATCTAGCATTTTCTCTGAAATATTTGTACATATGGCTAAAGTGCTTAGTATTACAGTTTTGTGGTAGAGTGTAATAAGTTTTCTTTTTATAGCCCTGTTTCAGTCACCTTTGCCAAATGTCCTTGAAAATCTGTTATACTGAAGTAGAGAACAGTGTTCTTGATGATTTCAATCAAATAAAAATAAAGAGACTGGCCTGGAGGACTCTCTGACTTTCTTTTGGTCTCAAATCCAGGGTCATTCTGTAGTTTTGCATATTACTGACAGGACATTCATTATTCTTCTGTTGTTAGTAGAATGACTTGAGCAAACAAAAGAATTCTTTCAATTATCAGACTCAGGTTCCCTTGGAGATATCATCTTTTCCCATGACATATGCAGGAGCCAGACGTCTCTCAGACAGTTAGGGGCAACTTTGACTAACTGTTCTTTGCAAAGATTTGGGAATGCTATTATAGCTTGATGAATGAGGAGCTGAAAGGTTGGGAGCCATGCTGCTTGCGTAGGTTAAGTTTAAATGATGGCTTTGCAAAGATGGGGTAACTAATGCCTAGTAGCCAGAATGCAAGCAATCTAATTGCTCTTGGCACTTTTGAGCATGAAGAGCATGATTTCAAATTTGTAATTATATAACCAGGGAATTAAAAAAAAATACCCTACACATTAATGTTTGTGAACACATTTGTTTAAAAACAAAACCTACCTTGTAGCAACGTTGAAAGACATTCTGGAAATATTTTTTCGCATGCAAAACAACTCAATTAAAATGCCTATGTATTCCTGCTGTGGTCACCTTCTTAGAGGCAGAAAGTAGAATGGTAGCTGCCAGGGGCTGGGAGAAGAGGGGAGTGAGGGGTTTGTGCTTTGTGTGTATGGAGTTTCAGTTGGAGAAGATGAAGTTCTGGAGATCGATGATGACTGGTTGCAACAACAGGGTTAATATACTTGGTGGTGCAGGACTGGTTAGGGCGGAGCATTTTATGTTACGTATTTTTGCCACAATAAAAAAATGTGTCCTATTTAAATATGTTTTTTATTCACTAGGGCAAAGTTATTAGAAAGTGAAGCAGTAAATGAGAACCTTCGGAAGAACTTGACAAGAGCCACAGCAAGATCACCGTATTTCAGTGGACCATCCTCTTTCTCTCCAGCTATACTGTCCTCAGACAAGGAGACCATTGAAATTATAGACCTAGCTAAGAAAGATTTAGAGAAGCTGAAAAGGAAAGAAAAGAAGAAGAAGAAAAGGTAGTGTTTTAAAAATCACTGGTCTATGAATCCCTATTTTTTTTTCTCTTTACTTTTCAGGATATTTTAATTTGCAATTACAGTGAGTATACATGGTCTCATAAATATATTAGTAAATAAAATGCCACTTAAATTAGCGGACAATTATAATTATGCTTCTAATAGTTTATCTCTACTTATATGTAAAAAAAAGTTAAACTATGATATTATGGTAATAAATTTTATTTCCTCTATGACAAGGTAAAATTACTATTCGAGACTATTTTATTATTTCTTCAGATAGCTGCTTTTGCATTCCATTCATCTTTCTTTTCTGCAAAGCTTGCTGTACCATAATGACTCAATGTTTTCATCCTCCTCCCTCCCACCCTGTTTTCTAATGCGATTAAATAGTCTCATGGATACATTCTAGTTCCTGTCTAGATTAGTTTATCTAAAGGCTAAACCTATCCATCAGGCTGTCACTTAATATTATTTGGTTTCTTAACTATTTTCTGCCGGGCTTCCAATTTGATTATATGACAGTTATTTATTACCTAAATCTTCCCACAAGGAATTATTCACCTTGCACCACTGTTCTAGGTTTTCTTTTCCTTGCATCCTAATAATATCCCCTCCTGAAATCAACTGGGTGCAAAGAAGAGGAAAAAAAAATGAAATTTGACCATTGATAGTTGTATGAGTGGTTAAATACTCATAAATTCTTGACACGTTTACATATGGTTCTATGGTGCAGTCAAATATATTTTGAACTTTCCAGTCAAAATAATTTTAAGCATTTTTGGCTAGATATTCAAAAGGAAGCACAGCTATCTTATTTACCAAATGTTTGTAACAGGGGATGCACTTTGTAGAATTATTATTGACATGTAGTCTACCTACTGCTTTGCTAGTTTATTTAGAAATTTATTTAGGCAACCAGCATTTCTTCCATGAAAAAACAAAACAAAAAAAAAACAGTTGGTAAAAGTTGTTGGAGGTAAAATTCTTCATATTAATTCTGTTTGTGTCCTTGAGTTAAAAAGGAATTATTGAAATAATTAAAACAAGGAGTTATACATCTGTAGTTAGAAGGCATTGCAATTGAAGTTGGATTCTTAAGATACTGATGGTTTAGCAGGTGCTTTTCATGGAGGCTGATTATGGCAGCTTTAAGAAATATATAGTAATGCCCTTTGGCTCAGTGGATAGATCATCAGCCTGCAGACTGAAAGGTCTGGTTGCAATTCCAGTCAAGGGCACATGCCTTGATTGTGGCTGGATCCCCAGTAGGGGCTGTTCAGGAGGCAGCTAATCAATGATCTCTCTCATTATTGATGTTTCTATCTCTCCCTCTCTCTTCCTCTCTAAAATCAATTAAAAGTATATATATAATGATTCCCTCTTAAGCAGAGCAATTAATAATGATCATAGAATTATCAAAACCACTGTGACCCAACAAAATGAGACTGATGCACATGACTTATGATTTACTTATAAAATCTAATTCTGCAGTTGGTCATAATGTCAAAGTTATGAGTTATTTTTAAAGGATTAGGTGGTTTGTGTTCATGAATAATAAGTACAACCAAGGGTACATTTCCCAAGGTTCTCTGTTTTTTGAGTTAAATTCAGAAATGTTACTGTATCACCTAATACATATAAATAAATGAAAAGAGACAGAGATCCCGATAGAAACATAGGCTTTTTTTGACATGCTTGCAGTGATTATAGATAATCTCAAATCAATATCTCTGATGCAGGTTATTTTTGCGACAATGCAGAGTTGTAAGCATTTTGACTGATAAATAGTATGGAAGGAAAAACATTTTATTGTTAAGATTTGTCTCTGTTGCTTTACTCTGGAACTTGTAACCACTTCAAGATAAAAATATTTAATAATTTCAGTTATTCTTTTAGTTGTAATAATTACTAAGGTGAAAATAATAGCAGATTTAATACTAGAAAGAACTCACCAAACAACTGATTTTAAATCTGGAAATACAAGTAGGGGAAAAAGTTATTTCTTAACAAAAAGTGTTATGATATTTTAAAAAATTTTGAGGAGAAAAATAAGCCAGATAAATTGAGAGATATTTTAATATGTGAAAAAAGTGTAAGAGAGTTTAGAATTAGAAAAACAAATGAATACTTACTAAAGATTAATAACTCCTATAAGTGTTTTTAAAAAATGCTTTATAAATCATTTTCATACACGTTAGTATGTCTTTGTAAAACAGAAACCTATATAATATAGTGTGAACCCATAAAAATGTTGAGTACCGTAGACTGTATAACTGTAAAAGCCTTTAGAACCAGTTTAAGAATTTACTTAACCACAAATATAAACTTGTTAAGTTTAATAGAATTTTTCTTACCACCCTATTCAAACATTGTTGTGGATAAAAAGTGAAAACCAATACTATTTTACTAGGTTTGATAAAGATTTTGTTCACCATCAATAACTTTTAGCTATAGATCCAAATAACTTTTAGCTGCATGTAATGTTCCTATTTTTAAAATCCAGGTAAGCTCTCATTTTAGCCAGAGGGTTTGCTGCAGGTAAAACAAGTAATAAAGATTTCCAGAAATGTTGACAAAGACATCAGGTTTACTGAAGAGTGTTGATAGTCTTCCATAGGAACTTGATGGAGGCGATAGCTCTTGCTTGGGTATGTTGGTTTTGGTCGAGTTGTGTTACATGACTCAGATTTATTTATTTTATTTATCAGAGAGACATTACAAAATCTGGGTTCTGCCAAAACCGGTTTGGCTCAATGGATAGAGCTTTGGCCTGAGGACTGAAAAGTCCCGGGTTCAATTCCAGTCAAGGGCATGACCTTGGTTGTCCAGGTTTCCCAACTCTCACAAAATGATTTTTACCCATTTTATAGTGTGAAAGCAAGTCAGAAGGGGATAGAAAAAGACAAAAGGGGGAAAGAAACTTTCACTTCATGGGTGTAGCCAACCTTTGGCTAGGGGAAGGGAGGATGTGAATTTCTGCCTTCCTTGTTTTTTCTTATTCTCTTTTACTGACTTTCTGTGTCCTCCTGCTGCCTCAGTCCCTGTGTCCATTACACAGTCAGTTCTCATGCAAGTCTCCAAATGACTCCCAGTTTAAAAATCATCTGCTTTCTTCTGATTTCTTTAAATTCATCCTTGGGAGCAAAGCCATCTGACAAAAGGAATTCATGCCAGTAGAAATGACTTATAACCAGTAAGTTTCTTTTCTAAGGGATGTCTGTAATTTTGCAAGAGGAAACATTAATCCGAACACTAGGATTTGGGGCAGCAACCCCATCAAGAAAGAAAAAAAAAATCCAGTCATGTAGGAAAGAATTGTTTTATGACCACCTTTTGGCTGAGAGTTCCCAAACCTGTCCAGGGTCCCACCTTTGGGTTCTCATAGCTGCTTTCTTCCCTCCCCACTGAATCCACATGTTCTTTAAAGCTCCACACCTTTTAATTTACTTTGTTTTGTGCTGTTAGTTTTTGGTTTCAGTGGCTGCGGGGCCTCTGACAGTGCAAGTGTTGGTAGGAAGAACAGCTACTGGGTCATTTTTAGCTGACTGGCATTTGTGTTCAAGGTAGACATCCTGCGCCCTGTTTTACATGCAAGCTTCACCTTCTTTGGCATCAGAGTCTGTCAAAGCTCCAACCAATAGTTGATATGTGGCATTTTAAGGATTGCTCTTTTACCTTTGTGTGGATCTGTAAAATAGGTGAAGATAGTAAGAAAATAAGGGAGCCCTAGTCGGTTTGGCTCAGTGGATTGAGTGTTGGCCTGTGAATTCAAGGGTCTTGAGTTCCATTCCAGTCAAGGGCACATGCCCGGGTTGCAGGATTGATTCCCAGCAGGGGTTGTACAGGAGGCAACCGATCAATGATTCTCTTTCATCATTGATGTTTCTATCTCTCTCCCTCTCCCTTCTTCTCTGAAATCAATAAAAACATACTCTAAAAAAAAAAAAAATTGAAGAAAAAGCAGGGAGAATAATTGAATAGACTATATTGCCTGCTTTTCAGTTACATAAACGTTTTAGAATGGTTAACAAGATTTGCACTTGCCGCTCTGCCTACCCCACTGCCCCCTCAAATAGAAATATTGTAATGGAACTAAATCAAGTAAAAATGAAGTTCTTTTAAGTTATGGAGAAGTATCAGATTATTAGCTTATTCTCTGACCCTCCATTGTCTTTTTGAACTGTTGATTGCAAAGCTTTTCTAAAAAGGCAATTGGAAAAACACCTAAAGTTTAACTACTTCTTAGCTCATTTCATCTGTAGATTTTAAATATAACTCTCTTGTCTAAGGCAAACAAAAATTTTTCATATTGAAAATAGAAAATTTGGTTTGTTTGCCAATTGGCCATATCTTTTGAGCCACTATAGCTCATTATTATCAGTATATGCCTAGATTAGAAATAAAGTATTTTTGCATTTTTTATGTATAAAGTCTATGATTCACACATTTATCCCCATGTTTTTGGATATCTAGCTTTAAATGACTTGCACTGTAAAAAAAACAAAACCCCAAAACTTAAATTTACTCACTAGACTATTATATTTGTATTTCGTGGTGTCAGGTTGAAATTCTAGAAACAGATTTCTTAGGCAATGGCTTTCCTTTTCTATTTTAGCCATTTTACTGACCTTTAAACCCTGGTGACTATCACTCTGTTGATGTTTTTTTTCTCAGAAAGATTGCTAGTCTCTTCTTGTAATAGCAGTATATAAGAAAAACAATCATAGACCAAAAAGCAAAAATCACATGTGAGCACATATGTTACAAAATTAAAAGGAGAACTGGATTGATAATTCATATCTAAGACTCAGTCTCCTTATTGTAAAACTATTGATGACTCTGGAAAATGCTTTTGGAATTCTGGGCAGAAGGGGAACGTATCAAGGACGTATACACTTCTGCAGAGCCTAGTACATCTCTCCTTTTGTCTACATGACAAATATTGATATTTAGTACATTCCATTGAGTAAAGATGCCCAATTCTGCATATTCAATGT